CTGTCTAGTTTTCTTGCAGTGATCTACCATGGTTTCATTCAACACACAAGAACTCACCGTAAGTTCCGCTGTTTTCTTCTAGGTAAACGAATCGTGCTCGGCAACTGCCCGTCGCTACTGGTTATCGGGACCTAAGAAGGGGACTTGGGACTACTTGTAAGCTTCAAAGTCGTGCGGTTGCTCATAATTGATACTGCATGCTCTTGATTCGCCCCCGTATTGATGTGGTCGTTGTTTCAGGACAACGTTGTCTGTGAAAATCAACACCGTATGGCCAAGCATAAGACCGGCGCAGGCAGCTCATCTGTCTCTGATACTTCAACTGTATACAGCTTCGATTGTAGCATTCAAAAATTTCTCTTTTCTGGCAAGTTGTATACTCAATGACCTAAGTCACACCCTGAGACGTAAACAGAGCCAACCATTGCCTATATGGTGTTTCATTCGTCGATTTCGAGCTTCCGGCGTGCTGGTGGCTCGATTCTGAAACGTATTCCTTATTCTCCAGTGAGGAACGGAACACCACACGAGATAAAGGTTCATCAGCCACTTCTTTATACACACATATATATATAGTCTTGATTATCCACCAACTTGTTCAATCACCAAACAGCATGAACCATGTGGGTTTACCGGATGGTGTCAGTGCTGGAGTGGATGAGAAAGGAGAACCTATTTTCTACTTCGTTCTCTTCTCACCCTTCCCTGGTTTTATGTTGGGCGTCCTTGACTGGCCGTCAATTCGACAATTGGTGAGTCTCTCGTAGGTTGTCCTTGATATCTGCCTCTACAGATAACAAATTGGCTACATAGAATACTGCCCTGGATACTTGTAGATCATTGGTGGAACAAGTTAAATTCTACCAAACCTAGCGGCAGTGAACTTCCGGTTTTCCAAAACTTTCAGCTTCGGTCTGATTTTCCGCTTCCGCGTTTAATCTTCATCACTACACTACGCTCACTCGATCAATACGTTCTGCTCACCAATACTATCCCACTTACAGCTCTTGTATCTTCCGAGTGGGCTGAGCGTACCTATATTGAAGTGGGGCTTTATTGTTCGCACAGATAAAAATGGTGTGGTTACTCGCACTTGGCAAGACCACAGTGGCGAAACCTTCCAGGTAGGTATACGCCAAACTATATGGTCATGCTTGTGCAATGAAGAGATGTATAATCATCACGTTCCCAATCATATCATGTTGTTGCCAGTTTGTATACTGTAATATTGTTTAGGCTGGGTGCGGTGCCTTTATAATCGCAGACGCGGCTTCAGTAAGATTATTTTGCCTTTTTGATCTGTAATCCTATTTGTTTTTAGCTCAATGCATATCTGTTTCTCAGTGTATCGTATATCTGAGCTAACCTCAATGACGACTTTCAATTTACTCATGTCATATGCACACAATTCTCTCTCACCCGTGTACTTTATCCTCAATACTGAAGCTCACCGCCGTCGAGGTGACCAAAGGAGGCCTCTATGTAGGCGGATTGCACAATAACTTCGTAGGATTCTTGAAGATCGACAAATAGAGCTAGGTAACCTATACGTGGACAACTCGCCAAAAATGTTATCACCCATAGTACTACTTAGACGGGGCAATTCTAGCTTGCTCTGTGGCATTGAGCTGAACAATTTCTGTCGTCTAAATGAAGTAGTAAGTAAGTTTGTGTAGTATAAGGTAGCGTTATATAGCACCATTACTGCTTCCCGATTAAAGCTATTACCAACAGAATCTAGTTCACTTCAGAGTATTGTTATTTCACACACACACACACACACACACACACACACACAACACACACATACACACACACACACACACACACACACACACACACAC